GAGAGCCAGGAAAGGTCTAGAGCGGGGGCCCACCGACCTGCTCTGGATCTCAGGAAGGTGAGTCAGGGAAAGCACGGGGGTGGGTGGGGGGAGGGAGACTTCACTACTGGGCAGAAACGGGGTCTCAGTGAGCGGCCCCAAGCCGGAGCGATGCTGTGCCCAGGGGCCAGGGCGGCTCTGTGCTTCTCAGAAACTCTGGGCTGGCAGCAAGGAGGGACGGCCAAGCAGAGGCACAACTGGGAGCCAAGGGACCCCTCCACGTACAGACATCCTGACGGAAGGCGCTTCTGTCCCCCGTGGGCAGGAGATGCCTTCAAGCCACAGACAGGCCAGGGCTCTGATCTCTCTTCGATGGTTCAGGCACTGCTCCCGGGCACACACTTCTCCTCCTGAGGACAGACCAGGGGGCCTCCCTTCTCCGTGAATGGTCCCCGTTGGCCCTCAGAGATCTTTGGTACAGAGGGAATCAAGGAACTGATTTCTTCCCACCCCACCCTGGCCTGCTTCCTAACCCCAAAGAGGCAGCTGAACACCAGGGGAAGGACTGGGGCAGACAGAAAGGAAAAATCCAGACAGCCTGGGGGAGGGGGGTCCCCAGAGTCCAGCTGCCCAGCGCCAGGGCCTGACCTGCCCCCGCAGGAGTCTCCCCTGAATTCCCGGCCCAGACGGATGAGGAATGCCAAGAATCCGCTCCTCCCAAGGACTCCCCCTCCGGAGCATTCCAAGTGCTAATGGTTTGCCTCTTGAAACCTCAGCAGCGTGAGAGAGGAATCGACCCTGGGGCCCCGCAGGCACCCTCTCCGCCAGCACACCTGCCAAGCGGACGGATGAGTGGAAAACATGAGGACCGAGACCGCGCGGCCCGGCCAGGACAGGAAGTCCTCCCTCCGAGCCTCCCGCCCGTGATGGAAGAGGTCAGCGCAGCGGAGGCACCAGGCCTGGGGCAGCCTAGGGAGGGGGCGACCAGGCAGGGAGGGATGGGCTGGAAGACGGAGCAGAACCCGAGGGTGACCAGTCCGTGCTCGCCCAGCAGCAAGGCCTCTCCTGATCAGAGCTGAGTGTGTTTCAAGATCCTGAGCCCAGCGCCAGCCCGTCCCTCCTCTGCAGATGGAACCACCGTGGGCTGGCCTGAAGGAAGGAGCCCAGAGCCAATGCTGGGAAGAAACCCCAAATTCCTGGGACTCTCAGCTCTGTGCCTGACAGTCGCGACCTCGGGTCCGGCTGATCCTGACCTCAGCAGGGAAGGGCAGGGAAGTCAGAAAGAAGCTAAGAAGAGCTGGACACTTGGCGCTCATTAAACAAATGTCTGCTGAACTGAACAATGGGAGGAAGGCATGAGATTATACCCACCATCGCGAGTGTAAACATGTGTTACGTGAACGGGGAGAGTGACTGAAGGAAGCACTGTGTGGCTAAAACTCTTCTCCTGCGTGAGTTCTGCCCCCAGATGCAGCCGTCCGCTCAGTGGGCTGTTTTCTGAGAGCAGGACTATTTACATAACATCTGACTCAATCTAATCATCTAATCAATGTCTGCTGAATTTTTGAAAAAATCAATGGATGACATCATAGAGACAGAAAGCATAAGGGTGGTTGCCAGGGGCCAGGACAGGGGGGTGAGGGGGTCCTGTTTAAAGGGAACAGACTTTCAGTTTGGGAAGAGGACCAAGTTCTGGAGGTGGATGATGGGATGGCTGCACAACAGTGTGAACTTAACGCCACTGAAGTGTACACTCACAATGGCTCAGAGAGCACATTTCATGTTATGTGTATTTTACCACCATCAAGATTAAAATTGAAAAAGAAATCAATGTATGACCAACACACAATCCAACAAAAGGACCCAATTTCAGGGCTGCCAGGGTTTGGAGTCTTAGATTCAAAATGGCACAAACCCTCCGCAACTCTCCATCAGAAGCTGCGGTCTCTGTCATGCCCTGGATCCGGGCTGGGCTGTGCCAGGGTGTGACCAGCAGAAGAAAGCAGAGGGGACCCCGTGGTCCCCAAGCCTCAGCCTCTGGGGGCCTTCTCGGTGTCCCCTCTTGCCCCAGGGAACTCTTCCACCACCAAGTGGCTCGCTGGACATGCGGGGCCCCAAATGGACACAGGAGAAGCCAAGTTCTCCCTGAGCAGACAGCTCCCCTCGGCTGTCGGACGGCACAGGAGCAGCCCCCCGGCCAGGCCGACAACAAGAGCCCAGCTGAGACCTGGCCAGACCGCTGACCCACAGAATCAGGAGCAAAGAAAAGGCTGCTTCGAGTCACGAAGCTGCAAGGCATCACCTGAGGGAGAATCTCCAGCCCCGCAGTGAGAGGTCGTGGCCACCTTGCCCCGGGTACCACTGCCCGTGCGCAGCTCTCCAAAGAGAGTCCCACCAATCTTTAAGTCCTAAGAAGAGTGGGACAAAGGAGGCAAGCACTCAGGGCACTGGAGCTTACAGCTGGGGAGGGCTGAGTGTCGGGTGTTCTCAAACTGGACACAGGTTCCTGGGAACAGAGTAGGGGTTAGGCTCTTTGGTCCCTAGAACATTCTCTGTGTTGCCTCTACAAAGTTCTGACTTTATGTAAGTCTGACCTCGAGAGAGCAAGCCAAAAGGCGAGGACGCAGAGAGCCCACAGTTCATGCCCTATGCTGGTTCTCTCATGCTAAGGGAATGGGAAATGGAACAGAGAGCTCTGAGCCACAAAGATTCTGCGTTTTACCAAAAGGAAGCCAGTTAGCACGGGCAACACATACTGACTTGATTTTATCAAGTCTTCTCCACTGATGCAGGTTCCTAAGGGATCTGGCTGGTCTCTGTGGACAGTCAGCATCCCCGCTGGACCCTGTCAGCACTCTGTGTTCTGGAGGCATTTCCCAGGCACCTGTTCCCACACTGACCCTAGGAGCTGAGTCTCATTCTCAGCAGCCACGCCAGGTGCTGCCCCCGCCTTGTCCCAGAGTGTCATCTGCGGCAGATAACACGTCCAACTCCACAACATTTAACAAGGTAAAATCTCATGATGAGAGCAGGTGTCCTCACAGGGCACACGACGGACTTAGGGCTCAGGGCATTTAACTAATTCAACTTCTCTGTGTCTCCGTCACCGAGGTGTCATGGAACAGAGGGCCCAGTCCGGGGACACCTGCGCTGCCTCTGAGCCGCGGTACCTGAGGCCGCTCAGTCCCACCTGCAGAGGACCCACGTGCCGGTTCCCAGGTGTCGTCTCAAGGGCTCATGCTCCCCCGATACCCATCTGGGGGCCCATATAAAAGGACCACTGAGGACCCTGGCTGGTGCCAGTGTACTGATGCCTTTTGCACCCGCCTACAATGTCCTTTGCACTCTCAAGGGACAAGGGATTCACCGCTTGGATTTCAGAGCTGCTCCAATCCCAGGCTGCTTCTCGATATCCCTGGCTCCCGCCCACCCCCCCCTCAGCCACCCCAGCACCCAGATCCCTACAGCTCCCTGGCACAACATTTTTGTTCGCCCTGCCCTCTGCACAGACTTGGGTTATTAATCCGCCATGGAAACAAAACAATAAAAAGCTCGCGCAAGATGCAGACGTTTGCATCTCTATTTTTGGATGTTTGGGACCAACGATCTGGTACCCTGAAGGCAGAAGGCATCTGTGCTTGCCGCGGGAACGTGTGCTCTCAAAAGCCCCCTCTCAACTCTCTCGTGACAGTCCCTCAACTGCCACAGGCTTCCGCATCACTCGGGGCGATCAGGCTCAGCTGGAAAACCGCCTGTGTGCAACGCCAGCTGTCCTGACCCATCTGAACCCTTGTAAATCCTTCATTTTAAGACACAGACCCCGACATGAGGGCCTCTCAGGTCACCTGTAGTCCACCCGCCCCCACTCTGACCCACCCCTCTCACAGCCCCCAGTATGTTACCTCTGCTGGCGTGAGCGACTGTGGGGACAAGTGATGCCCTTTGGATATCAGGGCTTGAAAGCCCTGATCTGACCTCAAGTCAGAGCGCTGCTCCAGACACACAGCTATCATGGTCACGCCCACCATGGAAAGAACCCTCCAACACACAGCAGCGAATGTTCTAGAATTCAGAGAACCCTGGCCTTTGTCCTTCTTTTCCTGGGGTCTCTAGTCTGCCTTTTGGTCACTTTGCTTCTTATTAATAATACACTGGTCCTGGGACAACGAGGGAGAATGGGGACCTGAATTAAAAGCAGTTAAGCCTGACCCTCTGAAGCAACTCTGGCAACAGTCATACTGCAGCAATAAATGAATGCCTGGAGCCAGGGCAAGCCCCCAGGGTGGGCCGCACCGGCTGACACGTGTGCGTGTATCCGCTGGCTACTCCAGCTTCCGGGGGCTCAGACAGCAGCCTTCCCCACTTCTCTTTCACCCTCAGGGCTCTTCTGCCTTAGAGCTGGCTCTTCCAGACCATTCTGACAGATCTACTGTCTTGTCTCCGCCACTGTCTCTCTCTTGCCCCCTCATCCTCCCCACTTCCTGTCTCTGTTGCCCTTTTGATTTCATTTTAATAAAAGCAGCTCTTAATGCCCTCCCCCAAAAAGAGCTCCCCTCAAAGTTTTGCCTCATGGAGCCCCCGCCAAGGTGCCAAGTGCTGGCAGGGGAGGTGTGAGCAGAGAAAGGGCCCCCCCACACCTGGGGCTGCCTCTGTGCCCCCCACAGTGACAACCCCAACTTTATTTTGGGGGGGAGAGGTTAAGTAGGTTTATTTATTTATTTATTTTTAATGGCGGTACCAAGGATTGAACCCAGGACCTCGTGCCTGTTTAGCATGCGCTCCACCACTGAGATATGCCCCCCCGCTCTCCAACCCCTACTTAAATCCATCATCAAACCTAACTCAGCACAGGTCCCTCCCGCCTCCTCTCCTTCCCCACCCCCCATCCCAGCAGCGGGCGCATCCCTGCAACCCCGTGGTGGGGCCCCTGGCTTCGGAGCCCCCCGAGTGCTGAAAGGAGCATCTGTAGTGACGCCATTCTTTTCAAAAGGGCAAACGAATCTAAATTTAATCCAACTTACCCTCGTTTCCCAGGAGAAAGGGGCAGAGTGCTCATCTTGCCAAGTTATGTCCTGAAACAAAAATTCAAGAATAAATCTCAAATCGAAACCCAAACATACTCCATGCAAACAACCAGCCGAGGCCGCGGGGGCATCAAAATTTAGGAAGAATCCCAACTCCTGGCTCGAAACCAGCCTGAGGTTTTCAGGCTCCGCAGAGAATCGTGCGACGCTCCGGTCTGGTTTTCCCCTCACCTTGCTGGGCCCCGCACGCCCACCCCATGTCAGACGGACATCGGACTAATGCCTGGGTGGCCCTGAGACAGACGCAATGACAGGGGAGCTGAGTAAGAAGGAAACAGGGCTTCAGGGGCTCAAGTCTCAGCCCTGAGGATGACTTAGCCTCCTGGGCCTCGGTCTCCTCATCTGTCGAAGGAGAATCACCCTCCCCTTGCGGGACTAAAAAAAGTGACATTTGAAAAGAGTGCTGACATCTGAGCCCCCTCCTTCGCCCAAAGTGCCTACCAAAGACCTGAAAGGCAATGATCAGCAAATCAATGCAGACAATGCCTGGGATGCCAGTGCCTCGTTATAAGAGGACTCAGATCGCTCTGGCCCTAAAGCAGAGCAGCCCAGAAAGAGCCCTTCAGAGCAGTCACCGGCACTTTGACCTTGGATCCACGAGGTTTTGCTTACTGCTCAAAACAAACGTTTGGAAAATCACCTTTCCTTGGCCACCCCTCCAACCTCCCAGCTGTCTTCCAGCACTAGCAAATGTCTCATCTGGGCCCAGCTTCTACTGGGGAGCACATTTTCTGAACCAAAAACTGGGACCCCCCCTGGGCGATACAGACTGAAAATGGAGTAGAGCATTTTGAACTGATAAAGCCCCCCAGGCATGCCGTGTCTTCCTCCCACGCAGGGGCGCCCCCTGCCTCCCGAGCGAGGTTATCCGGCACCCCCTCCTCCAAGAAGAGAGCCAGCTGTGAAGAGGGCCCAGCTCTCTCAGTGCCGACTCCATCGCCAGCCTCCAGGCTGTCTCCTGCCATTCCCAGCTGTCAGGCAGAACTTTAAAAAGGAGAGGGAACGTGGGCCACTGCACCCCAACTGGGAATTTCACTGAGGCCCAAGTTACTTTTCAATGTACAAACTCTGTCCCTCCAAAAGTGGAAGCGGGCTGACGGCAGGGGTGTGAGTTAAGAAGCCTTAGCTGCAGGGGCCTCCTGGGTCCAGGTCCCTCTGTGTGTGTGTGTGTGTGTGTGTGTGTGTGTGTGTGTGTGTGTGTTCAAGGCAGGGGAGGAGAGGGCAGTTGAGTTCAATGACCTGAAAGTCCTTAAAATTCTATGATCTTTTAAGTTCCTCTTAGAAGCAATAAAACAAGAAGGACTTTGTTTTCAGATGGGAAAAATAAAGCTGGCTAATGGAAGGTAAGTAAGTTCCCTTTTACTCTAGATGTGGACCTGGGAAAAAAAGCAAAGGAAAATCAACTGGCAAATGTTCTCCTTCTATCCGAGGGGGACAGCCAAGTGGCCACCTCAGGGGACAGAGGAAGCGCGTGGAGATTTATTGGGCAGGCAGAGGTAGGGAAGCGAACAGGACCACTGGCCAAAAGCAGGACACACTGGAAGTGGACATCCCTTCTCATGTGCCATGATCTATCCTCTGAATATTAATTATGCAGCTCGAAATCCGTAAAGATCGCAATAATAACGTTTGGGGCTTTGGGAGGTGGGTGAACGCAAGACTCAGGGGAACAAAGATGCAGCCTGGAGCCTGGGGAACCAGCGGGCTCACGCGGCTGCAGCCCGTACTGGCTGAAATTCCAAGGGGGCTGTAGACAGAGAGGGGGCCCCCCTGTGATGTCCCCCCCAACCTGGTGTCAAGTCAATAATCTTCTGTTTGCTCCAGCAGGAAACCGAATCAAGGGGCAAATTCCTCAGATTTCCGCAGTTCTGAGCTCATCAAAAATAATAATGCGCTGAACAGAAATAAATGTGCCAAACAAAAATGTGATTGAGGCTCTGATGTCAGGCGTTGGCTGCACACACCAGCTACAAAAAGCGTTGGCGGCAAGAACAGGCTCTCCAAGCAGTCAGATGCAAACAGCATCGGAATTGCAAAGTGGCGATAGGTGTGCACGCATGCGCACACACGCACGTGTGAGCATAGGACACAAACGATGCGATCTTTCTTCTCCGCCCACGGTGATCGGCAGGCAACCAAAATGTGGCCAGGCACATGCTGTGGACCATCACACATGCTTTCTGTAGAACCGCCTAGAAGACTTCCCCCATCTGCCTCCCTGGCGCCCAGGATCAGAAATTACAGAAGCTTGAGATTTACAAATGTTAGCCACTATATATAAAAATAGATTTTTTTAAAGTGTCTTCTGTATAGCACAGGGAACTATGTTCAACATCTTGTAAGAACCTTTAATGAAAAAAATATGAAAATCAATATATGCATGTATATGCATGACTGGGACATTGTGTTGTACACCAGAAATGGACACATTGTAATTGAATGTACTTCAATAAGAAAAGAAAAGAAAAAAGAAACTACAGAAGCACCAAAACACGTCTGCTTAGACCACAGGACAACACTGGGTGGGCTTCATTTGGCCGAGAGTTATCCTCAGAGACAAATGCTCCGTAAGAGACATCCAGACCAGAGACAACCCTGAGTCTCCCTGGAAATTTTTCTTCGGAGTACGGCACGGGAAGAAGCATCAGGTAACCAAATCCCAAAGAAACAGGATGAAAAGCAGAGGGGAAGCCACAGTTGAGCCACGGAACACACACCCTGATTGCCTGGCAAGTATCAGAGGCCAGCACAACACCACGGAGCCTCTGCAGGTCCCCACTCAGCTCCAAGGACTCCAGGATGGACACGCACCCCGTTCTCTCCATCCAAAGTCCCAGAGGCCTGGGCTCTCGCTCTCATCCAGAAAATGTTCATCCAACACAATGTTTACCTCCTCACAGAAACAGTGCTTTTGAAAAAAGATCATTCTCTGCCTGTGGTGCCAGAATGCACACTCACGGAGAAGCTCCAGCAGTTAACTATTCTGCTACCCTGTGCAGGGTGGATGCCGGCGTGTTTTATGATCTCGGTGGGGCCCAGACATTTTCACTTTAGGAGGCTGCAACCCGGGGCAGGCTGGCACCCACTCAAGAGAGCTGACTGTGACATTTGCGGGCATTTTGAACCTGTTGTTAAACACAGTCATTGTGAAAAGTTAAATTATATAAACTTAGAGTTAAATATATGGTGTTAAGAACAAAAGTAATATACTTCATACCCATAAGGATGGCTATTATTTAAAACACACACACACACACCAGAAAATAGCAAGTGTTTGCGAGGATGTGGAGAAGCTGGACCTTCACGTGTCACTGGTTCAAATGTAAAATGGTGCAGCCACTATGGGAACAGCGTGGTGGTTCCTCAGAAAAATTAAACACAGAATTACACTGGATCCGGCAATTCAATGTTCAGGTATAGAGCCAAAAGAACAGACAGCAGGGACTTGAACAGACACCCGTGTGCCTTTACTCACAATAGCCAAAACATGGAAACACAAACATTCATCAACAGATGGATGAGGAAAATGTGGTACATACATCAACGGAGTACTACTCAGCCTGAAGGAGAAAGGAAATTCTGACACGTGTCACAGCCTTGAAGACATCATGCTGAATGAAATAAGCCAGTCACAGCAGAGCGAATATTGCATGATTCCACTTATCTGAGGTACCCAGACTAGGCAACTTCACGGAGATAGAAAGCAGAGCTCACCAGCGGGGAGGAGAGGGAGGAATTTTTAAGAGGTACAGAGCTTCTCTTTGGGGTGATGGAGAAGTTCGAGAAATGACCGATGGTGATGGCTACATGACATTGGGAATGTACTAACTGTACACCTAGAAATGTTTAAAATGGTCAGTTTTGTGTTATCAGTATTTTATCACAACAAACAAAATCTGAAAAGGCTGTACATTGTACCATTCCAACTATACAGCATTCCGGAGAAGGTAAAATCACAGAGACAGTAAACAGATCAGTGGTTGCCAGGGTTAAACAGGAGGAATGAAATGGGCAGAGCACAGAGCAGTTTCAGGGCTGTGAAAATACCCTGTACCAATACTGCAAGGATGGACACTTTCTCCCAAACTCAGAGAAAATCCAACAGCAAGAGTAAACCCCAGTGTAAACTATGGACTTCGAGCAATAATGATGTATGTGTCAGTGTAGGTTCATCCATAGTAACAAACATTCCACTCTGGTCGGGGGGGGGTGTTGATAGTGCGGGAGGATGTCCCTGCGTGACAGTAGGGCGTATGCCAGAAATCCATCCTTTTCATTTGTTTTTGCTGGGAAGCTAAAACGGCTCCCAAAATTAAAATTTATTTTTCAAAAAAGTGTCCCCCCAATCAAAAAACAAAACAAAACAAAAACCCCCGTCAAAGGTAACAAATACTGAAACCATCATCTCTGAATTACTTTAGTCCATTTTGCCGTTACCTACGCTCTTGAGGTTACTTACGTCCACGACATCTGCAGGATGGGAAGTACACCTGTAACTTCACCCAGTGGTGTCACTGCAGCTCCCTGACCCGCTCTGACCCAGTGAGCCACCTGGGGGCTTGCAGCAGGCCCTGGGGGACACCTCCCCGCCAGTCCGCAGGCGCTGCACATCAGGACTGCTCCCCGCACTGCCCCCCGCAGGCTGCAACCGACAGCAACCATGCTGAAACTCGCCATGTTCTGCATTGCGTGTAATTGTTTACTGTTACACTTTTAAAGGATTTTAGTGATTTTACTTTTGAAATTATTTGGTGACAAGCAACTAAATCCTCTACCACTGGTTGATTTCTCAGTCAGAGTGATGAGCATTCCAAAATGATTCTAAAATGAAAACCTCTGGACTTTTGAAATTCATTTCAAAGGTGAAATGTTATCAATATTAGCCTCTCCTCTTAATAAAGTGGACCAGGGACTCATAAGCCCTTTATTCTTTTATAATTTCCTTCCATTTTAGGGCTGGGGAATTTCATCAGGGCTCAAGCACGTGG